CTAAAGCCTTTTCGGAAACCGGCTTGTTCGGGAGGCTGGAAGTCGTCGAGCCTGCGAGCGAGACGATTCGTAATGACTCTTGAAAACAGCTTGTAGACATGGCTCAGAAGTGAGATGGGTCTATAATTCTTCAATAAGGTTTTGTCACCTTTTTTGAAGAAGAGTACCACCACACTTCTGTGCCATGTCGTAGGCGTTTTTCCTTCGAGGATGACGGAATTGAACAGCTTCTGAAGAGCCCTTAGTACCGGCGTTCCGCCTGCCTTCAAAAGCTCAGCCGTGATTCCATCATCACCCGGTGCCTTGTTGTTCTTCAGCTGTTTGAGAGCCATTCTAATCTCGTACAGACTGACGTCCGGGATATCTTCGGTATAGTGTCGGGTCAGTCTAGCTCTTGGGTCTTCGGCTAGATTTGTGACAGGTGCGCGTACACTCGTGTATAATTGTCCGTAGAACTTCTCAACCTCTTCCAATATCTCCGGCCCCGACGAAATGGCTCTGGCATCCTCTGTCTTCAGCTTGGTCAGTTGACTTTGGCCAACAGACAGATCTCTTGCGAACACTTTAGAGCCTTTGTTTCGCTCAATCGCCTCTTTAATACGGTCTGTATTAAATTGGCGTAGGTCGCGAGTCAAAGACTTGGAGATCTGTCTGTTAAGGCGCCGATACTGAGCAGCATCTTCAGAGGACTGCAAAACCAAGTTCCGTCTCTCTTCCATGAGTTGATTGGTGAGGTCAGAGATCTTTTTGGTTCCTTTTGAACGACGGGTTTTAAAGAACTTAGACCCAGTCGTTTGGACAATTTCCACGAACCTGTCATTGTATTCGTCCACATTTTCGCAGTCTCCTAGGCATTCGAAACGATTTTGCAAAGCCTTTGAAATACATACCTTCTTCTCAAATAAAACACATAAAGACACAAATAAAGACACATCTTTTGGTCTTGTCATCATTGCATGCATTACTTGTTTGTGTAAAGATGTGTTGTTGGTAGATCTTTCTCAATAAATAAAATAATAAATAAATAAATTTTAAAACATTAAAGAGACACCTAAACATGAAGTGTCCCAGCTCTATTCAGCGGAACAAAAGCAAACGCGTCGCGCATTGCGCATGCGCATCTTAAGGATGCATTGACACAGCCTCTGTAGACAGTTGACACTTGCGTAACAGTCAGCAGTGAATCTTATAGAAATAACGTTTATGCTGTGTGCAAACATTTGCAGTGTTGCAAATTACGCCCTTTGGCTAATAGATGTCAATGCCTTTTGGGTAATGGAAAATGAAGACATAGTCATGTATTACGCCCGTATTCACAAACGATGCTTGCTTCAAATCGAACGCACAGCGTTGAATACGCGCACTGTGAGACCTCATAGTAATGTTTGTGAATACGGGCGTGTCTGTTCTGTTTTTATACGCCGTGTGGACAAGAGCAGAAATAACAGCCTTATGCTTTACGTGGATGTGGTAGGATGAGATTATGGGACAAATCTGAGAACATCAAGCCTCCCCAAGTTCCCAAACCATCTGGTTAGCATGGAGACTATGGAGAGTGAAGGCCATATCCTCCATTTGCCTCTGATAAATCAGAGAGCAGATAATTATGTTCGCGCAATGCGCTTACAACCTTTTTTCACCCCGCGCCGGACGTCACTATCGCCAATGCCTCCAAACAGGAAGTAAAGAACATCACTAGCGGCGTCGTCCGGCCATCTTTACTCGAGCGCGTAGCTCGTATTTTTCTACATATTTACCATTGTAAACGCAGCACATATGAAGATTAAACTAATCCTTATGTAAAAAAGGACTCTTATTTGAAATCCTAAACAGGTTATGCTCTTGCAGTATATGACCTGATGAATTGTCATCATCAGATGATTCTAGAGCTAGGTGCTATACCAGCTAATGTAATAGGTGAGTTTTTTGCTCTCTTTTAACGCTCCTTTTAACGCAGTCGGGAAAAAACCGTATCCATGTATGTATATCTTTACATTAAACAACTTCTTTCTTTAATCTATGATTAATCAACTCGGTCAGTGTAAAGTTCAGTCCAGTAGAGCCGGCGGAAATGATTTCCTAGAGACGTGCTTTACCAGTCGGGCGTGACACTGGCGGTCATGTGTACAGTGACCACACGATAGGGGACTAGATCAAAGTCAAAATTTCTTTATTTTATTTTAATAGTAGGTACTATCGCCAACAGTGTTAACTGCCCATTGAAAGTCATGTCATCTCGTTCTATCGCAAAGAATCGCCATTTGATTAGAGCGAGACCAAAAACGGAAATGGATAGTTAACAGTGTGGGCTTGTGTACTTACAAATCGCCAAATATTTAAAGAAAAAATAAAGACTAATGAAAAAAAAGTTTTGCTCTTAAGGAGACTTTACATGTCTCATAATCTTTTTGCCCTACCAGTTAAAATTATCCAGACTTAAAGGGGGTCTTATTTTCGATGAATAATTCATTGGGTCAGTTAGTTTTGAAAAACAAATCTTTCTCCGAATTTCCTCGAGTAGAATAGAAACTCGGTAAAAAAAATATATTTTGCTTAAAAATAAATATAGTTTCCAAAAAAATAACGCCAATTTCATATACAGGGTGTTAGGTAAATGGGTATATGAGCCGACACTAGCCCATGTTAACATGGTCATATAAATTATATGGTGAAGTCAGAAATTTGATATCATCATTTTAATTTTTTTAATTTTCATACAAAACAAGTTTTATAAAATCCGATTTGTATGAAAATTAAAATAATTAAAATGAAGATATCAATTTTCTGACTTCACCATACCATTTATATTATGACCATGTTAACATGGGCTAGTGTCGGCTCATATACCCATTTACCTAACACCCTGTATGTAATTTGTTACTCGACTGCCTTAGATCAGATAGGTATTGACAAGTGAGGTAAGTACAGAAAACTGCCAATATTAAAAGAAGATTGGGTTATTATAGGCATAAGCGATATATTCACTATTCGTGCCGATAGCCATGATTCATAATGTCATTAACACACGTGTTACTACAGCCTACACGAATAGAACATAAAAAACTGCGAAATCACGTGAGTAGTAATTTTGGCAAACTCAATACCTCATTTAAATGGTAATGAAGCCGAAAACGTGTTGGATCCAAAAACGCGGAAGGCTCGCGTCAATGACGTCATTTTATGGTTAAAAATAACCACGGTGAACAAAGAAAATCTAATGAAAAACCAATTAAGCAATGTCTTACGGATTTGTCATCATCACGTGCGGTAAAAAAATATTATTTTTAGATTTGTGTTTATTTTTAACTTTATCAGAGCTTGGAACCTTTCAGCCTTTGCAAAACAACGATCGTAAAATGAATATTATTATATCGATCAGTCTTTGCTGTATCTAGGTATAAATATAATATAATAATATCCTTCTAACTTAAGAAATAAGGCCTATAGTGAGAGGCCACGTTTCCGAGCCATAAGTTATCACTGGTAACACACATTGGTTATACACTCTAGTCTTCAGGCATTGAGGTAATTTGGACGAAAAGATTGCACAGTCAAAGACACAGACAAAGTTGCACAGCGTGCTATGGAGAGGGCTATGCTTGGTGTTTCTTTGCGAGATCGAATCAGAAATGAGGAGATCCGTAAACGAACCAAAGTCGCTGACATAGCCCGACGTATTAGCAAGCTGAAGTGGCAATGGGCAGGGCACATAGTACGCAGAACTGACGGCCGATGGGGCAGAAAGGTTCTGGAATGGAGGCCGCGTACCGGAAAACGCAGCGTGGGACGTCCACCTACAAGGTGGACCGACGACATCGTAAAGGTAGCAGGGAAGCGCTGGACGCAGGCCGCTACCAATCGATCAACATGGAAAGCATTGGGGGAGGCCTATGTTCAGCAGTGGACGTCCTGTGGCTGAAATGATGATGATGATGATGATGATGAACTTAAGAAATAACGAGATATCTATTAAAACTGCATCACTAACTTCGTCATTACCTTGCTCTTTTCTTCTAAATAAATCTCTATCGCTCAATCTCTATGGCAAAACTTATCCAAATTAATGCAGCTTTTTCAGCTACAAAAATACACACTTTTGTTGCTGTTTTCAGGATAATAACAAAAATTGCGCAGTTCCTTTGTCGATAACTGTAATCTAATCAAATAAATCTGTGTAGTTAATTTACAAATAATTACAAACGCAATAAAATACTAGAGCAATTTAAATATAGAAACCATAATTAATAGCTAATACTGCTATGTTAATAATGCAATAAAATTAAAGGAAAATAAAATATACACACTTGACAATACTGCAGTCGTAAAGTTAGGAATGTTTACGAAAGCCACAATGTGCTCATTTAAGTAAGTTTTATGGTTGGCTAAGCTAATAAAATAAACTTGCATTTAACAAATAAAATTTACTAATATGCCTGTTTTCTAATAGATCATGAATTTGTATCCATTTCCATATCGCTCCACTCAACCAAGATCGTTTTAAGATACATTCCAGGCTCAAGGTACATCATCAATGGAATTAAAAATAATTAATAGTTTAAGTACTTTTATGTGCTATTACATGTATTATGGATTTCGATTGGTATAATATACGAGATTTAATGAAATCTCGTATAGGTTATACCAACTCGCAATGGCGAGTTGAAAGGAGATTCAAAAGTATCTAATCGGTCGGATTGAGGTCGGTTGTGGACTGACTAAAAAGTAGAGTACAATAAGATTGTAGTTTCGAGGTTTAAAAACATTTTAAGGATTGTCCGACTCTGTACCATACTCGTTAGGGAATCATAGTCGCCCTACAAATGATACGCTCTGAAGCTTGCAAAACGCGCTGCGATCCTGCGATTTGCTATTGCCCGCTTGCGACACTACAAAGTGTTAATAAGACAACGAACCTTCCATTCTCTACATACAATTGCACTCTACTGTTGGTTTCTATGAATAAATAAACAGTTTTAAATTAACTTTCAATGTTTACTTACATGCAAAACGTCTGTCTTGTCTGACCTGTAACAAAAATAACAAGAAATTAATAAAACAATAACTTCTTTTTTGATAACACAAAATAGTTTCGTAGTTAATAAACTCGGAATAAATAATACTTCACCACATCAATTTCTATGTTTGTTACGCGATAACTCCGCCAATTATGAACCGATTTGAAAAAATCTTTTTTCGGCGTATAGGTAATACTTCAAGGGTGGTCCCATTTAAATTTAATAATAGAAAAAACAACCCCCAAGGGTGGAAAATTGGGGATGAACTTTTTTATACGCAATATCTCCGCCGATTATAAATCAATTTGAACGATTCTTTTTTTGTTGAATAGGTATTATCAAAAGGGTGGTTTCATGCGAATTTGAAGAAAATATTTCACCCCCAAGGGTGGAAAATTGGGGATGAACTTTTTTATACGCAATATTTTTAATTTTTAGTTTTTTTTTGTGTTCACGCATTTGAAGTCGGTTTTATTTTTTTAAAAAGTTAATTATGGTTCAACAATTTATCTATAATTATTAACCAAATTGTGTAACATTACTATGTTTGAACCAAATAAACAATTTTTCTTTCTTTCTTTCTTTCTAAGTTGGCCTAAAAGTTTTCAAATTGCTAAATTGTTTAATCTATTTTATCTAGTCTTAAACAAAAACAGTTTTTAAAATATTTACACACACGGGGATCCCCGAGCAGGAAGTCACCTAAATTATGTTTAATTAGCAATATTTACTTTAATTTGTTTACAAAGCCAAAAAGGCCGAGACTTTGCAAACTGCAAGATGACCTCTTTTGTCTCGTAATTACAATGCCAGTTGAGGGTTCGATTCCTGATAAGGCAAAAATGATTGATGGAGACACAATAATTTATATCAAGTTATGATAAATTTTTAAAACTGGCCGCCATGGTTCTGTGTTCAACGAGGACTAGAATTATTGTGAGATTATTTCGTCATAGATTCAAACCATCTTGCGTTGCGTGAAAATACCTTATGGCGGATTTACACTGCGCGGAAATTAGCCAAGTCAAGTCAAAAAAAACAGTGGAGTGGGGATGAAAAATGAATGAATTTCATCAAAAGCGCCTTTACGTACCTAGCTAACAATAGCATTTCGTCGTATGTTTAATCAAATCAAGAGTAGGTAAAGAGTTTTAAATAATTTTGTTTTCTTTTCTTTTCAGCCTATGACAGTCTGCTGGATGTAGCCTCCTCCGAGGAGCACCACGATCCTGCTTTTCCATACTGCCAGCATCTTCTTAAAGATTGTCGGCCCAACAACCTGGTGGTCCTTTTCTCTGTTTGCCAAGTACTAATCATTCCAAGCTTTTCCATTTCACGTCCTTCAAAAAAGGAGGAGGTTCTCAATTCGACCCGTATGTTTTTTTTTTTTCTATGTTTGTTACGCGATAACTCCGCCAATTATGAACCGATTTGAACAAATCTTTTTTCGGCGTATAGGTAATACCTCAAGGGTGGTCCCATTTAAATTTAATAATAAAAAAAACAACCCCCAAGGGTGGAAAATTGGGGATGAACTTTTTTATACGCAATATCTCCGCCGATTATGAACCAATTTTTTTTGGTCTCAGTTTACTGCCTACCTTCAGTGGTAACATCAAGGTAATAATTAGTTAACTAAAAAGCAAGAAATAAGTAAAATTTTATAAAAAAAAAAACCGACTCCAAAAAACCTACACTAAAACGTAGAAAAATAATTACTAATTACCTACTTATTTATTAGGACGAATTATTAATATTTATGTAGGTATACCATGATTGATACTTTTGGAGTCGGTGCAGGCAAACTTTACATGTTTCATAATCTTGGCACCGACTCCAGAAGTATCAATCATGGTATACCTACATAAATATTAATAATTCGTCCTAATAAATAAGTAGGTAATTAGTAATTATTTTTCTACGTTTTAGTGTAGGTTTTTTGGAGTCGGTTTTTTTTTTTATAAAATTTTTAAAGTATTTATACGTATTGGTGATTGGTAAATCCAAAAGGGCGCTAAAGGTGAAGCGAGGGACGTGCATGTGTCGAAACACTAAGCTCGCAGTGCACTTTGCAGCGCTATGCGGTCTGGCACGCGCATTGCGACAAACGCAAAGCTGTGTCTAGAGACTGCATAGCTTCATTTAACATTTATGTACTGTATTTATTGCCTATGTACTCGTAATCGATTACACTGCAGAAAAAACGATTGAATTAATTAATTGCTTACACCATAAGCATACACTATTGGAGCTTTCGTCATTGATAAGAAGAATAAACGGTAGAGCTGAACTGCCGATGTATCGTTGTGCGGATTTATAGGGCTATCAAGAAAATTAATCTACATACTAGTATACTAGTCTACTATACTATCTTTACTAATATTATAAATGCGAAAGTAACTCTGTCTGTCTGTCTTGCTTTCACGCCTAAACCACTGAACCGATTTTGATGAAATTTGGCATAGAGATAGTTTGAGTCCCGGGAAAAGACATAGGATAATTTTTATCCCGGTTTTTGAAACAGTGACACGCGCGATAAAGTTTTTGTGACAGACAAAATTCCACGCGGGCGAAGCCGCAGGCGGAAAGCTAGTAATAAATAATTAAACGAAAAAATCATAGGAATAGTGTTAGTGATAGTAGTCTTATCTTAGTTTACGAAAATGATGTTCAGCGACTATAAATTATTATAAAAAGATCACCATTAATGACAACGAATTCAACTCAATTAAACGCATATTATGGTTGTTTTTAGAGTATTATGCTCATTCACAACTCATGAATACACACGTAGACACGCAGTTTCGTAACTCACGTGTCCGACACTGCGCCGGCGCGGGTCAGGCGACGCTTGTAACGCCTGTTGCATCCACTATAATCATGGCTAACTACCGGTTACAGGTTATTAGGAAAGCCTTCTGAGAATCGATGGAAGTGATACTGAGTCTGCGATAAGAGTAATTGTATGGGATATTTTTCTAACAGGAACGGTTGGTGAGTTGTTTCAAAATGTACGATATTGGTATACTCTGTGGAGCCATCTTATGCTAAACTATGTGAAGGTTTCAGGAACGAAAGGACAAAGTATTACAGCCTCTAGGAGCTAACAAGAGATTAGATGCAGCCCAGAGTGCAGACATGACGTCACGAGCAAGATTTCAAATCTTTTGGTCAACGGAGTTTACATTTACAGATCAAATCGCATGGAAAACTTCATCCTTGCATGTAAGTATTCAAATTGGCCAAATTATGGCGAATTGGCTCTGTCAATTGTGCATCATAGTGTTTAATTTGTAAAATACATGTAATTTACTCGACATCCTAAATTGTTCAACGATTTGCAAGATAATGGTTACTATTTCATTGAAAGTTGAGAAGCGACTATTAGGCGATCTAAAAACTGCTATTTTTCAATAATCATCGGCGTCCATCAGGTAATTACTAACTAAGATGCAGGCCAAGAGCGGAGAGTGGAGTCTAACGAACATGGTCCCATTTTTACCCTTTAAAAAACCAACTGTAATAAATGGTTGCAAAAAAAGTCTTAAATATCAAAGAACATGATGAAACAGTTCTAGTGTGCAAAAGTGAGCTGCTACAAATTATAACGGATTCGTAAATTTTGCGTACAATTGCACAGACCGGCGCGTTGCAGGCGTTGCAGCCGATTGCAGGCCGTTGCGACAGCGGAAGGTTGTGCAACGTTTCCGAACACATGGTATCTGTATCATTATTTTTGAGGAAGTTGTAAATATATTAATAGTGCAGGAAATTATTATTTTTCTATTAGTAGATGGTATATCTTATGTGCAATGTGCATTTGCTAATTGTTGTATTGAAACCTGATTGCAACTACTGTGCTACCGTCTGTGCGAATTTCAAGATAAGTTTTTTGTGTGTCTTAATTTAAATGGTCTAAAATATAATAAATGGCATCTCCAAAAACCCCATTATAAGAACAAGAAACAAAGTCACGTCACCGTCAAAAAAGTTTCTTTTCCCCTTTTTGCAAACAACTAAAACGGCTAATGGTTCGTTTTTGTCAACTTAAAAACCCAAGTTCAACGTTCTTGATCTCAAGAGATTTTATGATTTTCAAATTGTTTAATTACGATCTGCGAATTGGTTATATTAGCATGCCATTTGGAATTCTAATGATTTGGAAATATGGTTCCATGTCACAAATCAGAAAAGACAATATTTGTCATCCTTGAAGATATGTAATTAACAGTGCGTTACTATAAAACATTGCATCAGACAATTACTTTACTTTTACATCAAATAGTAGTTACATTTTATTACACTCACATTGTAAATAGTTATTTTGTATGGCTCTGAATCTGCATTTGAACTCTATTTCACTTATGCTAAGTGATCTAAGATGGAGCACATTGGCGTCAGTGAAAACTTTACTTACCTACTCAAATAGGCGAGTTTCCTAAAAAAATTTTTTTAGTCCGTCAATTTTGGTATAAAAAATATTGGACACGTATATTTTTAATTGTCAATCAAACAAATAATTACAAAGTTATAGTGCGTTGAAGTTCCGCGCGACGTCACAAAGTGCTGCACTTTTACGCACTCACTGACGTCACGGGCCTTTTCTTTAGAACTTTGGCACGCTTTATCTCTTTACATTTTCATTAGTTTTAAAAGTGAAAAATACGTGTCGAGTAGTTTTTGATAAGCTAACTGACGGATTAATTAAACTCTTGCTTTTTTACCCAGGAAACATCTCTAACCAGCTAAACTTTTTTCAAACAACCGATATTGTATCAGGTAGGACATCAGAAAAATACGCTAACTGTTGAGTACAGTAGCGTATCTTCGTCGTCGCTACACTCTTGGTAGAATGGTCGTGGTCGTCACGCCTGGTTTGGTGGCAAGCGTCACAATCCGTCACCATTCCTCCCGCACTGCAGCCTTTCTTGTACACTCTTGGAGGGGACCATTGAGTGCGATTTTGAGCTGATCGGTCCAGTACATGGGTGACCTGCCGCGCGCTCTTGT